GGAGTTCCCATTCGACGAATGCATTGTTGATTTCCGGTTCATAGACATCAGCGTATTGCATATGTCCGAGTCGAACACCTATCTTCAGCACCTTTGTTTGGTGAGTCGTGTTCTGAATATTTATCCAGGCCGTGTCGTTGGTCGGTCGGATGTCGATCTTGGCTTCGATTGGCCGAATAGGTCGGACTACCCGTTGTAGGGTAGAGAAGTAAATTGGTCTTCTCGGATCCATTGGTTTGGCCGTCCGTATCTTAATCGAACATGTTGACCATGCTGGGAGAGAGACTCGCTCGCTGTTGAAGACGACTTGTCGGTCTAGCGCTTTCGTCTCTACGTGGGGATCCAGCTTTAGGTGGTGGACTTCTGGGCATTTGTTGTCCAGGTCCAACTCCTCGATCGTCGTTACTTTGGCGACTCGTGCTTTCCATGTGTTGAAATGCTCCGACTTCTGTTGGTCGGTTAAGTTAGCCAAGATCGGATGTTCCGTTGACAACTGCTGGACGACTATGGTTGGAGGTCGGAAATCGTCTTCCTCCGGTTTACCTCCTCCAAATTCCCGCAAAGCCTTAAGTTGGTCGAGTTCTTCCTGTTGTTCGGAGTCGACTGACTTAGGTTGTTCGGTTTGTTCCGGTTGCTCGACTATAAATTCTGTGTGAACTATAGTCCGCAATGCTGTAGTTAGCCGAACATCGTAGGTCGGTTCTTCGTCCTCCGTTGACGAATCGCCCGAGTCGTTTATGCTCGGTTTATCCGTCTTACAATGTCGGACTGACATGTCGAATTCTTCGTCGTCTTCTTCCTCGGATTCTTCCGAAGTTCGGTTATCGGAGTCGGTGTCCGCCGAATCACTCGTACTCTGTATATCCGAGTCGTCCGACTGGTAATCTTCGTTTTCGACGGTTATTCCGTCTTCCTGTCCAATTTGCGGTATATTGCCGACTTCGACCTGTGTGGTCGTTTCGGCTTGGTCGACTTGCTCCGTCGGTTGGGTAGGTCGACTTGCTCCGTCCTGGTTCTCAAGGTCGGTTGGCTGTGAGCCTATGTCGCTCAACCATTGGATGCGCGTCTGTTGGGGCTTTCGAAAGCGGTCTACCTTGCGTTCCTGTTGCGGAGGTGACGGTGACGACGGTCTGTCGTCCGACCACGTTAAGTCGTGATGAGCCTTTATGGCCCGTACCACTCCGTCAATGTTGTCCTTACAGATGGTACACTGATAAGGTTTATCAGTTTCCTCCAGGATTACGTCGTCCTGGGGTTTCGCCGGGCTACTCACGAATTGCACTGTGGTCGGAGTATGCTCCTCAATTGGCGGCAATGGGTCGGGAACATGTCGCGTTATAGCGGTGTCTTCGCCATACCGTTGCCAGAATGCGGTCGTTGACGATTCTCCGTGCAACTGAACTCGCTGCATATAGGCAAAAAGTTGAAAGCCTAGTTCCTGGCAGGGCATTTCCAAAGGTCGTGGGACGGGGAGTCCGTATTCCATGTACTGTCGATGGATCGGAATTCGTTCATCTTCCCATTCCCATGCTTCGTCCTCTATGTCATTCATGAGGGCGATTACAGGTTCACACATTTGTTGTGCGTCCCGTATTTGCTCGTAAGTTACCGCTCCATTCTGTCGCAGAGTGGTCACCATCTCTAACGTCCGTTGGTCGAGAAAGTGTCGAGCTCCCGAGAACTAAGTTCGGTACTTTTGTCGTACTCGTTCTAGGTTCTGGGCATCCGCCTCAGCGGGTGCCTCTGGTATCGGGATAGACTTCAGTACCGTCCTTGCCGTTCGTAGTGTACCATTGCGTATCCGTTTCTGATAGTGCTCTATCACGTTGTGGAGTGCTAGTTCCTCCAACAGAGTGCGGTTCGTATCCCGGCAATCGCGGCAGATTTTACGTGTGGAGTTCGCCGGGTGATCAAGCCGACTAATCCGAGCTTCGTTTCCTACCGTGTCCGATGCCTCTGGTATCGGGATAGACTGCACTACCGTCTTTCCTTCCGGTTGTTCCGGAATTGGAATTGGTGTAAGAATAAAAGTAAACTTCGAATGCAGGTAGTCGCATCCGAGTAGCACTGGGATATCCGCTTCGGTCGGCTGAACGTGGAATGTGTGGTGGCTAGTAAAGCCCTGCATTGTTACAGGTGCCGTACAGCAGTGTGACACTACGAAGGCGACTTGTCCGCCCACTCCAAGTATTTTGGTGTAATGTCCGAGGGGTTGCATCGTTAAACCGTTCCTCTCGCAAAACCGTTGTTCGATGAGCGAAGTCTCCGCTCCGGTATCTAACATCGCCATTGTGGGCGTGGATCCGACTTGGATTTCATGTGTCCAAGCTCGAACTGTTTTCGGTTTCTTATGCGTTCCCTTCTCAAAAGTTACTTCCCGTATCGTTGGTTTGATGGGAATTAGTGACACCGGTCCGTGGTCGGCTGGCTGTTGAGTTGAACTTTGTGTAAGTTCGACTCCGACTTCACCCGCTTCCTGTACCTCAGGTCGGTTAGCTACTCCGTCCTCCGGTAATTTGGCGGTTCGGAACCGTTGTGCCTGTGCCAGTATCCGTTCCTCTATTGAGGTGTCTGTTGGCCTCAATTTCGACCACATGTAGTCGATGTTGAGGAATGTTCTAGAGCTGGCTATCGTTCAGGCTGGTCGCTCTTTTGGCTGGAAGAGGTCCGCTTCTCCCGGCCGAGAGTAAACGGGTACCTGTACTTCCAATGGGACTGTTTCCCATTCCTCGACTTCTCCTTCCGATTCTTCGGTGAGGTCGATGGCTGCCATTGTTGCGGCGTATCTATCCGTTGCGCGTCCGGATGATACATTGGGGAAGTTTCTGTTGCCCCGGTGCGTGAATCGGCGTCCCGGTCCTCCGCGTCTTGGGCATCGTCTGGCCTGCTCGGTTGAGTTTATCCTCACCGGCAATCCGGTCCAACTTCCGTGGCCGGGCCGTACTACGTCACTTTGTGTGACGGACGGCGCAGTCGCTTTGTTCGCGCTGCTTAGGTCGGGCAATTTCTGCGTTCCGACCTCCGACGTTCCAGCTTCGAATCGAGGGGCTGGGTCGGTCGCCTCGAGTGCTTGTTGCATCCCGGGCCACGCTTCAACGGTGCCATTGTTGGCGTACACGCCGAACTGAGCGGCTAACTTCCGAGCCGTCTCCGCCTCCTTTGTGGAGGCCGATATCGCCTTTGCGAAATCCTCCTCGGAGCTGTTTTCGTTCAGTCCGAGTAGTTGGAGGATGGTGGCTACCTGTTGGTAGCCTTCCTTTATCGTTGTAGGAAAGTTCGGTTCGTTCCGAGCTTCCGATGTTCCAGCGCCAAGTCGATGCGCTAGGTCAGTTCGGCCGGGCATTTCTTGCGTTCCGGTCCGGATCTCGATTTCTCCATTGTTGATGGAAATTCCGAGTTCGGCTGCCTTAATTCGAGCAGCTTCTGCCTCCTTTGTAGAGGCGGACAGTGCCGTAAGTTCGTCTTCCGTGCAACTGATCCAATCCAGTCCTAATGTGTTTAGGACTGTTACGATCCGTTGTTGTAACGGATCTAAGTTCGGCTCGTTCCGGGAGGTTGGCGGCTGATTAGTGGGGTTATCCTTGTCCGGTGGTTCGGTCGGATGTTGGAGGTCGAATGAGTCACCGGAGCTCATCGACCTTGGGCGTTTCCCGGGGAGTTACTCCGAGCCGGCCCATTGTTGGGTGGCGTCGAGTTTAACGACTGGCGGGGCGGCAACGGTTCTCTGTATGCCGGGGTACCTTGTTGGTTCCCACCGCTATTGTTGCGGTTTCCGCCATTCCCCTGGCCGGGCGACCGGTTTCTGTTACCGGGGCTACCCGAGCCGCCTGCCTGTTGGCGTTGGCGCGGCGGCGGCACAATATCCTTCCAGAAGGGATTGACCGAGCCTACCGGGCCATTCATCGAGTATCGGCGGTACCGGTCGTCGTACCACCGAAGGTTCGGATAGTTATCCGAGCCATAGATGCAGCGCGACTCGTCATGGTTGTTGAACATGCAGTGCCTGCATCGGAAGGTCTTGTCCTTCGTCCACTGGAAGAAGGCTGCCTCCATCTTATCAACGTACGATGTTCCTTGCCGAGCACTTTGTTGTGCTTGGGGAGGTCGGTTGCCTTGTGGGCCGCCGCCTCCGCCGCGGTTAGGGAAGTTCCCACGGCCGCGATTCCCGCCGCCGCGTCCTTTTCCGCGACCGTAACCTCCGCCGCCGTATCCTTGTGGGGGATACTGTCCGTATGTTACCGCCCGAGTAACGCCGTGGTTAACGGGGAGATTCTGCTCCGGAGCCTTAGTTGTCCGTACTGTGTCGTCGGAGTTTGGTATCCCGGCATCATGTGGGGCTGATATCCGGTCTGTTGCGGTATCGCCGGAGGTGGAGTCGGGACAGGTGCAGGTGTTGCTGCCCGAACTCTAGCGTAGTCGCTGTCACGCGACTTGCGTACCTCGTACATTTCCTTGCCGTTGACGAAGTCCCGTAAATAGTCGCGGAACTCGATCGGCGTTGACGGCATCCTGATTTCAAGGGCCGCCCGCAGTTGGGGCTCATGAACGTTCTCCTTAAGGTGGTACAGTATGATTTGGTCTGTGACCGTCGGGACTTGGGACTTCATGAACATCATTGCGTCGTAGTATTGTTCCGGCGTTTCTTCGCCGAAACGGAATATCCGTTTGTTAATCCTGGATATCATGTTCACTTCTTTATTTTTGTCCGCAAATCTCTGCTCGAATTTGGTCAGCCATAAGTTGACTGGCCATCCGCCGAGTGGTTCTCCGGCGGCTTCGAGAGTATGCCATTCTTTCGCTTGGCCGTCCAGTTCGGCTATCAAGTCGGACATGAAGGTCTGATCGTCTTCATACCATCGTTGGGCTTGACGATACAGGCTTCGGATTTGCTTAAGCCACCCATGAAGTTTGGTGTGGTCCCCGTCGAACGGTGGTAAGGGTTGCCGACGTCCGTGGGCTATTGCTCGTACCAAAGCAACGTGCGCTGGGTTTTGTTCCAGGGGAGTTGGGTGTGCCGCCGGCGCAGCTTGTTGTGCAGCCGGGGCGGGTGGTGGATTGATGTATGGCATGTGACCTTGTTGGTCTTCGTACGCCTCCTGTTGGTAGGCATCGTCGTCATGGCCTTCGTATCCGTCCTGTTGCGGATGCCGAGCCTGAGCCTGGTCTGCGTGACGAGGCTGTTGCGGCTGTCCTCCATACTGTTGTGGAAGGGGCGCTCGATTTTGTCTCGGCGCCGGCGGATAGAATCCGCTCGGTTGATCGTAGACTCTTCCGTACCGGTCGGGCTGTGTTCCCTGAGCCGGCATCCGACTCTGTGTAAGTCGGTTTGGAGGCCTCCGGCCTTGTTGGTCGGAGCTGTCTTCTCCATTTCGTCCGTCCTGCTGCTGGTCGGCCGTGTTGAATGACCGAGCTCGCCCGCGTTCAAGGTCGAACTGCGGGTTCTGGCGGAGCAAGTTCGGGTTGGAATTCGTCCGTGGTGGCCGGTATGCCTCCATGCCAGGTCTTGGTGGCTGGATTGGGATCCGTTCGGCGTCCGTTGTCCGGTCTCCTCTGGCATTAGGTACCGGCGCGTACATTGTTGTCCGCGTCGCGTACGAGGTGCTGGTATATGCACCGGTTGACGTCGTTGTCGCCACGTTCGTCGTTGGCACTCGTGGTGCCGCGGTCGACGTATTGTGTTCCGGTTCCGGAGCACGCGGTACTGCTGGTGGTTGTGGGATTGTTCCCACACTCGGGTCGGTTGTTACGACTCCGACGAAGTAGGAGGTGTTGTTCTCCTTCTTCACCATTTCCTGGGTCGGGTTAATTCCCCACAGGATGTCACTTATTGTTCGTGACGGCTGTTGATCCTGTGCCATGGACGTCCGGTATGAGGGCGGTTCAACCCGACTATGTTCTTGGTATGGGGGAAGTTCGACCTGGCTTTGTTCCAGGTGTTTCTTTTCTTCCCTCAGGCACCGTGTTTCGGTGTCCATCTCGTCCATTTGCCTCATCATTTCCGTGAGGTTGCGGGCGGCTTGTTCGCCGAATTCGTACAGCTCGGTTTCACGGGCCTCCAGGTAAAGGATGCGGCTGTGTTGCGCCTCGTTTACCTTTTGGGCCTCGTTCAAGTTGTACTCGAGTTGAGCTCGGAGTTTCTGTTCCTCCTTAAGGACCTGGTTCAGTCCATGGACCTGGTCAGCCAGCTGGGCGTTTGCTTCCACCAGGTCGACGTCGGCTGTCCTTTGGTTAGGAAAGCCCATGTCCCGAGCGTTCGCGTCGATGAACCGTCGTCCCATTCTGGTGAAGACAAGTTCGATTTCCGCCTCGAGCTCGTCGACTCTGTGTGTTAGGCGGTCGATCTCGTCGTCGGCCTTCTTCAGTTCCACCACATATCTATCGACTTCGTTTCGATAGACCTCGGCTTCTTCGTTGGCCGTGTTGAGTTGCTGGTGGAACGCTCCGGCTGCCTGCTCCGACTCGACCAATGCAGTTTGTACATCGGCCAGGTCTTTCTGGGCTTCTTCGAGCGCTTTGTTCGCTTCGGCGAGTTTTCGGTTTAACTCGTGGACCGCATCCATAGATCGATCCAACATGCCCTTAAGTGTAGTGGCTTCGTCGATGTCTTGCCGACACGGTTGGTCGGTACGCTTCAATATGGCATTCAGCCGGTCGATTTCCCGTTGTTGGATGGCGATGCCTTTGTTGGCGTCGGCCATTTCGCGTTCCCATTTGCTTCGTTCGAGCCGATGAGTATCTTCCGAGTTTCGGAGCGATTTTCCCGCCGAGTCGATAATTCTGTCTGCCAAGGCGATCTGAGTGATCAATCTACGGCATCTCGAGCGGAGTAGGTCGACGTCTACGATCCTTTCGGGCGGTGTTGCCGCTATCCACTTCTCGGCCGTATATTCGAGTGAAGTGGCCTGATGAGTGAGGTCGTCCTTGTTGGACCCCGGTGGCATCGTGAAGAATCCGTCCGCACTATTCGGTCTTGACGCTGTTGTTGCGTCAAAGACTTCGTTTGTCGGTGACGGAGTACTACCGAGTTCGCCCGTTTCGAACATCGGTGGTGACGATCTGATTTTCAGGTCGACAGGTCGACTTTGTGTCGCCTTAGTCGACTTCACCGTTTGTTGAGCTTCAGTTACTCGAGTCGACTCGCGTCCGGTTGGCGAAGGTCGGCTTAACGGTGAGATAACCTGTTCATTGGGTGCTGGTATGCTAGTCGGCGATCCAGCTGGGCGAGGGCCGCTTCGTGGCGGTACCTCGGAGTCTTTCGTTCCACTTGGTGATATGGTTGGCTGGACGGTCGCATCCGACTTTGTGTCGGGTGGTTGCCGTTCCAGGCTAGTCGATTGGCTGTTGCCGACTTCCTTCTGTGGATCCGCCGTGGTCGGTTTCGGCTGACCGACCTTCACAATTGGTGAAATCCTTCCGACCTGTGTGGTCGGTTGGACATTGCCGACTTCTGTTGTCGGTTTTTCCATTCCGGTCGAGGTCGGTTGTTCGGCCTCCCGGGTTTGTGGCAGGTCGGCCTGCTGTTGGTCGACTTCTTTTGCCGGCGGCTGGTCGACCATTTGTTGGTCGGCCACCGTAGGTTGTTGTTCACCGACTTGCTTAGTCGGAGATTTTCGCTCGGCCTGTGTGGTCGGCGATTTCCTTCCGACTTGGTTAGTCGGAACGTCCATGTTGGGCGAAGTCGGCTTCGGCACCTCTTCCGTCCTGTTGGGTGAATGCCGTCCGAGCTCGGTTGTCTTTGTGACTACCGAGCCTTGAGCTCTGTGTGAGCTCGACTCCAGGTCGGTATGAGACAATGTGGTCTCAGCTTGCAGCTGTTCCACATCCCCCTTGGTCGGGTGGGACGGGGCTGCTGTGTCAGCTGGGGCTTCCAGGAATGTTTTATCCCGGGCGTCCTCGAAACTGTCATCCGAAGTTGGATTCGAGTCGGCAAGGAGGATCCGCTCGTTGCGCTTCTCTCTTGCTTCGGCCGACTTAGTCGAGTCGGTTGAGGACGGCTGGCTTTTATCTTGACCGGCGTACCGGAGTGAGTACTTCCCGGTCATATTCGCACGCCGAGAATAGTCCGTGTTGAACTTTCTCGCGTACTGATCCTCTCGGGGATTCGACATTGTTGTCAAGTCGGGTCGGCTCTGGTGGAGCCTCAAAGGTTTAATCAGTTAGAAAGAGAAAGTCGAACAATCTTCTGTGTGAAGATGTTCGGCAAAATCAGGAACGTCTTTTTGTTCGGGAACTTCCAAGGGTCAGGAACGTCCGGTAAGATGTTGTTGTTGTTGTTGATGTGTCTGTTGGTGACTCAGTACACAGGGTATTAATATACAGTACGATGGTACAGTACAGTACGTAATAGTAGTACGGTGTAGTACGTCCTATGTTACTGTGCTGACCAGTGTGACGTAACAGGTTAAGTGGTCTTGCACTTCTGCCTACGTCACAGAATGCGAGCCGCGTGCAAAATTTGCAAAAAAACGATGAATCACGCCTATGTTAAGCTATGGGAACTTTCCCCTGCACGCTGATTGGCTGCCTCTTAAGTACTGATAAGCGGTCGTTATGACGTCACAAGGAAGTTCGAGAATTTTCGCGCTATTTCCCGCGAGAAAAACAAATTATTTTAGGTCGGCTAGAAAGTTTATCTAGTCGGATTTTGAAGTTCTTAACCGTTAGAAATTAATTTTATTAATTAAGAAAATTTTCTGGTGGTCGAAACACCGTTAGAAATCAGAAATGAGAGAATTTCCGACCTGTTGCCGGTTAGCCTTTGTCTAACTGTCTAGACAGGTTCGTTGACCTAGCAGGTCGGTTCTCGACCAAAAGCAAAATTCCGAGTCGGTTTCTCCGTCGAAAATCACTTTTTCACCGTTAAAAATTTTAGATTTACGGATAGAAATTGTTTTCTACCGCTAGAAAATGAAATGCCGACCTAGTTTCGGCTGAAACCGACCTACAACCGTGACTTTACCAGTGTCGGTGTCGGTGTCGGTTCCACTCGATTTCCTCCGTCCGAGGTCGGAAATCCGTCGTTTCCGAGCTGAAATCCGCGAGTAAAGTTGCGGGTCGCTGTTCAAAGCGAAGGTCCCCGTATGATTGGAGTAATCCTATCGCGCTGCAGACTCTCGTTCGAGTCTGATCCGTCAGTTGGGAGAAGAAAAGTCCGTGCTGTTGGGAAATGAGATTCCGCTCTTCAATGTGGAAGAGACCAAGGAACTGTGCTCACCAGCTGGGCAAGAATCACTTCAGTGATCCTCGTTTTCCTCAGCTGTAAGACGATGCGATCAATCCGATCAAAGTCAAGGGCAGAGATTGCTTCAGCAATCTATCTGACAGTGACTTTCAGGTTCCTCACAATTTCTCCGTGAATTGAGCCTTCACCGTCTCCTCAAAGGGTCCGTTGAAAGAAAACCAAACGATGCTGCTACCATGTAACAGGCAAGCGCGAGGAGATCACGAGTGATGCTTTATTGTACAAATAAAGGAACAATACTGCGTAATAGCAGGGAATGCAAGAACAAAGCACTGATGGCTAAGCAAGTGAATGCTAGAAAAAGGCTCTTGAGCGTCCGTCAAGGCGTGAAAGAAGCAACTGGCGGCAAGCACGTGCTGTGTGCCATCAGCTGTGTGATGATGCGCAGACTGGACTCAATCCAACGCGAGCGTATGAACGCTGAGTCATACTGCGAGAGAGGAACGAGAGAGCAAGTATGCTCAGTGTGTGCGCTGCGTATATCCGCTTCAGCGGATGTGAGTGCAGTGCAGCAGCACACGTACGTACAGCGAGAGAGGCGATATGGCAAGCCTGAGTGCAAGTACGTCCATGGTGGGCCGTATGCATCAGGCGCAGTCATGTGCCTCTGACAATTTCAAACCGAACTTAATATCTAATAAACCTTAATAGTATTGTGGTTCATTAAAAAAATCAACACTAAATATACTGACACTTTCTAGTCACTTCCTAGTTCCTACGCTAATTTTCCATAGGACAATCGCAAAACATTTAAACTTGTATGAGAGTTCTTGCTGTTTACTGCCATTTCCATCCTGTACTTACGCAAATCGATATGATGATGATTCATTCACACTATTCCTGTCCAAACCGCGTCACAGTATGACTGTACACCATACTCGTAACAATGTGTACCTCCGGCTGTTCCCACATAGTCACAGACTATCGATCGATTATCTCCGCACTGCTTAACCGGTACAATGTTTTCCTCGTACGTAGTGAGCAGATTCCCGATATAAGGCTTAAAGCTCTATAGTGCAAACCACAGTATCTACTGCCAGTTTAATTCTTGCCTTCTTGCCATCCGCCTTCTTTGGAAGACTTTTGTTAATCAGATACGTTATCAAGACTGCCTTATCCGCTACTTGAACTGCCGAAATGGGGCCGACAAAGGAATCGACAAAAACGCGCTTCGATCGTTGGATACGCAAGCCTTGGGAGTCGCTGTCTCCACGACGCAGCAAAGACGCTCCCAAAACAGACAATATCGTCAGTGCTACAATAACTTCATCCAGCGTTCCTCCATCTCCTGCCAATCGGGGCTCTACCGTCGACGACATTAACTGTGGACAAATCCTGGGAAAAGATCTGCAACCAGTGGTGTATGAAGTCGTAACGGGACAGTTCATTCTGGGTTATCTGTGCGACGTGGACTGGGAAAGAAAGCGCGTCCTGGTGGATTTCGACTGTTACGACCACCCACCTTTGTGGCTGCCAGGCGCGCAGGTGCAGCGGCATAGAGCAGTAAGAGAATGGGACCTCGGGATCAAAAGGCCTTTTGAAGCCGCTCTGCGCTTGGCTTCCGACCAACCCTACGTGTTCTATCCAGCGCGCATTATTTCTCCCGTTGACGACAGCGCGGGTCCAATTTGTGTTGAAGTGACGCCTCCGGGCGGTGATGTGCCCATTCGGAAATTTGTCCATCCGCTCCAGCTGCGCATTGTATGGAAATATCCGCGCAGCTCATACGCCGCTGAATATGACTCAGTTGTTGGATGCTGTCGTCAGCTACACCAACAAACGGCCCCTCTCGAATTTGGGCAGAATGTGGAAGACATTGATCTGCAGTGGTTGTTGCAGGCTGTAAACGAAATTCCGTGGATAAATGTGGTACGGATATGGCTGGACACCCAAAGCGTTCACTTTGTCTATACGAAAAAAGGAAAGGAAAATTTGAATGAGACGGTTTTGAAGATTCTGGTTCAGAATTCGCGGTGTCACGTGACTGCGCCCGAGAAACTTTTGGACTTATCTAACACTGATGCCGTCCGCGACGGTTCCTTGGTAAAGCTGCCATATGAACTTTTGAAGAGGATCGTGTTATCAATCGAAGACATCCACAGCGTGGTTAGCGCTCAAAAGTAAGTTGCGGAAATACAACTAGCCGCTGTTTCTATAATACGGAGGCTGGCAATTGTCACAATCCCTGAACAATCGCAATCGAGCTTTTAGCTGCGTTTATTTAATAAAAAGCAAAAGGTCAACATCAGTCTCTGTTATTGTTGTGAGAATCAGCAAATCGCAAAATACAGGTTCAATTCAGATCGTCGTCTATGTAAAATGAAAGCACCACAACTAAAACAAATGTACGAAAAGGATGCGAGATGCAGGCTGCCTTTACTGAAGGATAGACAAGCAACAAGTTGAACCGAATAAAATTTTATTTCCCCTATAACACTACTTCAGGGCTATTTTACTGAATGGTATTTATTGCAGAGTTTGCAAATCCTGGCATGACATTCTCCGTCGAGACATCAATCAACATGCCGCTGTCGCGATCGACCTGACCAATCTGCTCCCCGATTCTTCCAGCAGCAAAGAGCGAAATTATAACCGAACTCAACTTATAAACATCCTCGACACTACCGTGACTACAGCGACCGTGGGGCTGCTGCTAATGAACGGCAATCTAAGTATGGAGTTGGCCAAATACATCGTTGGGTTTCTATCTATTAAAGTCCCGTGTTTGCCTGCGATCTTCCTGAGAAATATACTGTGTTCGTACCCCGTGGCACAAAAATACGAGCAGCAGCGGCTCGAGTGGGCCAATCTCAGCCAGCTGATGCTAGCATGCCGAGAACTGCATCTGCAAAACGTTATCGTTCCTGCCCTTTTCGGCTCCATCGCCGGATTGTGGACCGTGCCGGCCGAAACACGGCTGGACATCGATGCGGTCGTAGACAAACTCGTACTTCACTCAACGCTTACTGAAGACGATCGGATGGAACATTTTCTGAAAGCTTTGGATGCTAGTTGCCCCGCGTTCACAGCTTGTGATCGGAAAACCATTGACAATGCTTACCGTGCGACGCTTTCGCGTGCAGAATTTCCGCCACGAAACACACTCCTCATGATCCAGCTGTAAGGGATACTTTTGCTCACTTTGGGCCTACGCTTTTATGAAGTAGCCACCGGTCATCGAATTTTCTGATTTGTTTTTTTCTATAGAAAACTATCGATGCATGGTACGGTGTGCTTAAGTCGAGTTCCGAGCAAAGGTTTCTGATATTTTCTAAAAATAACGTTGGCCTCCGAAATTAGAATGAAAGAACAACAACTCCGAAACACCCAATTTATGAAAACGGATCCGCAGAGCAATTAAATTATTAGGAAAATATTTCTTCAGTAATTATGTAGGTTGGTATTTTTTAGGTTGAATCGAGCAATAACCGGACAAAAACAACCGCCGTTGTCCAGACTTGCCGCTCATGCCTTCCGCTACTCTTATCCCACGGAGGCGACGTCCTCCAGCTCCGTCCCCGGCTGCCGTTTCCTTTCCTGCCCAACACCATCTGACCCGAGGGACACGGAAGAAATATTGCGGCATTGAGTTCTGTTTTATGTACCTGATTAAACTCAAATATGCCATCTCAGGTTGTCACGGCCATTCGGTCTCATTCGCAAGCGATACTTTTGTAGTGACCGCGCGCCCGTGTATTGTGCTCCCGCTGGATTGCCGTAGGATGTTGTAGCAGATAAGCTCATCGACTATAGCGCTAAAAACTTTTGTAGCCTCTCCCAATGTATAATTCTGTATAACATCTGTAACCTCTATACGAGGAGGGGGTAAACGAGCTCGATGTACTCGAGTCATGGGTAACAGAGCACGTTATCCGTAACCGTGCCTGTGCAGATCGATCAGCCACCAAGAGATGGCAGTGTTCTGCTAATCAATATAACCCCCACCGACTGGTGGCCGGCCGTGTGTTTCAAGTAACTTCAATTTAATGGCTAATATGTAGTTTATCATAATAAATTACTGATTCTTTTTCTACTCGTAGTCTCGTACTAAAAGGATTCAAAAAATTTGCAAAACTTTGCTAATTTTGTACAGTAACAAAATCTCATTTTTCCAATTTCACTTCTCATACGAATATACAGTTATACTTGCGCCTGTCTTGTAATTTTCATGATGCCACACTAACTAACACGAAACTCAATAATGACAAAATCACGGCAAAAATCACTTTCTAGTCATTCTAAAAGTTTTTTTTGTTGGGGTGTTCGTAATGTCGCTCAGTCCGCTCCGAGTTGTCTTTTTACGCTTATTTTTCTGCTGAAGCTTCTCCGCTTCTCTGTCCTCCAGAGCCTTGATCACCTTGCTATCCGTAGCAATAAGCCCTGCATCCGCACGGAGGCGAGATTCTTTTAGTTTTCGTTTTTTGTGACCGTGAGCGCTCATAAAATTATGGTGCCAGTCAGCAGCAACTTTTTCCGGTAAAACGGGAGCCTTAAATCCTTCTGCTTCGGTAACGGCAAAAGCTATAATTCGCTCAATTGCAGCTTCTCTGAGGAGAGGAATTTTTCGGAAAACACCGCGCGCTATTTCGAACTGCGTTGCATAATCGTTGGCGACAGAAATCGGTACATCCGCTAGAGTTACAACTGGCACAGGCTCCACATAGGCTTGACATACCGCAACCGGATTAAACGGATAAATTCCAGAAGAAGCAAAACCAGAAACAATATTTTTCGCCATGTTAAAATCGTTCCATTTTTTCACAATGTGGCTGGCAAAGTTCTGCTTGTTAACCTAAATAAATTTCATGTTCATGAATATCATTTTTTAATAAATTCGCATATTTACATTAGAACACTAAACCACATCATACTTCTTCTGTAGGAATCAGCGTCATCTCTCGCAGGTAGTCCCTCCAGTACTTTTTGATCGGACCGAACACTTTTAAATCCATGGGCTGAAGCTTGCCGGTCTGTCCAGACGGGAATATCACGACCGTGATGTCTTTGTCCGACTTGACACATTCTGACAGGAACTCTAGGTTAAACATATGAGAGCTATGCCCATCCAGGAAAATAACATTCTGAAAACATTTATTAAAAATATTACTGGAAAATTTAATAAAAAAATGTTATAATTTCAGAAATTATTAATGCTCAAATATCATTAAATAACGATGATTTAATCACAAGGGAAAATGTTAGTATTTAGAACTTGCCTTCTCCGCTGTCATTCGGGGGATGACTTCTTCTCTGACATAAGAGGCGAAGGTCGCATTATCCATTATACCCGACGAGTTGAAACCAATATGGCACATATCGTCGGTGCCATCAAATCGGGAAGCAAGGAAGACTTTACCGTCAAACAAAATTAGCGGTCGCAAAATCTCCCCAGCAGCATTTCCTCCCGCAAGCACGGTTATTAATTCCCGATCGTTGCCATCGTAGTACGAAAGAACTTCCTTACTGCCTCGTTGAGCATACACTGTCGTTACTTTTTCCGCAACCTGAAATGCTGATTCATCAAAATTCCAAATGCCCCTCGGATCATCAAGCAGTCCGTCATTATGCAGTTCTCTGAGCCGCTCGATTCACTCTTCTCGATTACTCACGGTCCACTCTCTTGCCTTTTTCCGAGATACACCATGAGAAATCGCTGCGAAATCTTCGGATGTCTTTTCAAGAACTGTCTGTGCCAGAATTTCGTAAACGTTTTACGATTAACGGGCATATCTGTGTTAAAAAATGGAAAAAATATAAAAAATAGTCGGCAGATGGCATTAATTTTAGTGATAAAAAACACTGCAATAATGCATCTACGATGAAATTTTATGGACAAAGCGGAAAGATGTACGACAAAAAAAATATAACAGCAAATAAACTTCAGACCAGTTACTAAGATGCGTAAATGTAGATAGCACATACTCGTACCTTTGTTGCTGGCCAATATTGGGACAATTCGCTTTAGGAACCGCTTGTCCAAAGGTATACCATTTTCCGCACATTTGAGTAGAAGGCTCTCTATATAATTCTCCTCTTCGTCTGTGAACTTTCTCATATGGGCTCCTAACTTTCCACGGCGGACGCCGTTCAGCTTTTCCCAGAGCGTGGTGTATGGAACGTTGTACCGTTTGGCAGCAGCATAGCGAGTCATGATTCCAGATTCAACGGCTCTAAGGGCTGCTTTCAGACGATCACTGTACGCTGTAGGCACGGGCATATCTGTTATACATTCCTGCTCATTTTGCGGTAGACCAGACGCGGTTCTCGAATGAGCACAGGGGTTCTCCGTTGATATGTCAGAAAATAAACTGGCAGGTAACTGCACGTCGTCGCTGCATCCTCCAACAGTGCTCGTATCAGGCGTGGAGTTATTCACACATAAATCTTCCGCCATTTTCATATTAACATTTTAAAAAATTTAAGAAGTTAAGATCAATCCTTAGAAACATAGATATTTCTAGTAATACCGTAAATCAAATATGCATTTATCACAGCTGAATTTAAAGTTTCAAGTTTCAACGGTTAAGTTTCAAAATATTGCAACATGGCTCGGCCAGGCTGCCATCTCTTGGTGGCTGAGCGATCTGCACTGGCACGGTTACGGATAACGTGCTCTGTTACCCATGACTCGAGTACATCGAGCTCGTTTACCCCCTCCTCGTATTGCTAGTTGCAAGTCGCTAGACTCGCTACCTAATCTTTAAACTGTTGAGCTGTTCAACTGTTGCCGCTTTCCAGCATCTGAATGGCCTCCTCAAACCGTACTTCATCCACGGTGCCTCAGCAGCACAACCCCGTCTCCAGCGTCATGAATGGCATGAAACAGATGTTAACCAGCGGAGAACTGAGCGATGTGCAATTTTCCGTTGGGCGTCAATTTGGTCAAGCGAAGATCTTCCGAGCTCACAAGTAACACTCCCGTTTTTTCTCATAGATCATTGTTGATTATGCAACCAGTGTTTTGCGTTCCCCCCTTTCTGTCGTATTATTGTAATTTTTAGGTACGTTCTGAGTATGCACAGCTCTGTGTTCCGCACCATGTTTTACGGCAGTCTGCCCGAAAGCTGCAAAGTTCCCATCGAGATCGCCGATTTTCTTCCCGACGCGTTTGCCAACATGCTCAGGTAGGATCAGGTGTAATCTGCCTTCTGTGGAATACTGCATGGTCAGATAAACTTTACAATTTGTGAGTCTGTGACTACGATTGTTAAAAAACTGTCGACTGCAGCTTAGTAGCTTTATCGCGCAGCACGCTTTTCTCTTTACCGTGGTAATAGTGATGTATCAGTATCGTTAAAATGCTACTGGTAGAGACACTTAAGTACGTCCCGATCAAATGTCTGGTTGTTTCAGTTACATGTACACGGACAAAGCGGAGAACCTGAACGCGGACAACGTGTTCCACACCATGAACTGCGCCGACAAGTATGACTTTGCGCCGTTGATGCAGGTGTGCTTGGAGATGATCTACAGCAAGCTGAACATCGACAACTGCCTTTCCGCTTTGGAACAGGTGAGCCTCTGCCATACATCAGTAACGAACCAGATTACCGTGCTGCGCTAAATTGTAGGCCGTCCACTGGCATGCTGACGGTATCGCGGAGAAATGCTTTAATTTGTTGGATGAGAAAAGTGTGGCGGTTCTGCAATCACCGACATTCACTGCCATTGGTCAGGACCTACTGAAGACCATATTGTCGCGGGATTCACTGACTGCTCCGGAATACGACATCTATTTGGCCGTTGAACGGTAAGAAGCTCGACAAAGGCATCCGCATTCAACTATTCGAGTTTCCCTTGAAAATGTGAGGGACATCGTACAGATGGACTGAGGCAGCTTGCCATCGGCAGGACATGCAGCCGTCCGCCATGAACCGACGTCAGATGTTGGGCGAGGCGCTGTACTTGCTGCGGTTTCCACTTCTCACCAACGCAGAACTGGCTGACGGTCCCGTACAGGTGGGTTGTTGCTTCTTGGCGTTTTGGTTAAACTCCTCAATATAACTTCGAATTTTGAATGTTTCGCTTTGTATGATTCACTTCGTATTGTTTCCTTTCGACAGAGCGGTTTGCTAACGGAATCCGAGTTGTTCCGCTTATTTGTGTACCAGAATGCCGCAGCGAAGCCGGAGGTTCCGTTTCCCACTGAGCCACGCACGGGTCAAGAGGGAGTGTTGAGGAGGGGAGACGATGTGTTTGTTCGATTCTCTGTAACACATTCCATGATGCACTTCACTAGCACAACCTTTTGGGAGCCAGCCACAGTACAGCTGGTCCATCAGCAGAACGTGGTGTTCACTTGGTGTAAGAATCAAATCCACAAGGAAGGCCTTGCACCGGTAGGCGAGGTGGTTCGAGCTAGGGACATCTTGAAACCTGACCAGACGGTTTTTGTTACTTCGTTGAATACTATTGGACAATACAGCAGTGCTGAGATTAACGGAAACCATCGGGTCACCTTGCACGGATACAACGGAGATCGTACTGTTGAATTCGCTGATTTGAAGATTCGCGCAGAAGATCTAGCGTCATGGAAGGGACAACGCGGAAAAACGAAAGAATCGTTGACCAGATCTTCTTATCCTGTACAGTGAAGTTTGTAGAACCAGCTGTCAGGTTTATCGTCTTAGCGGTTCATTCTTATAATCGTTTTTGTGTTGGTTTGTGTGTGCTGTTTTTCAGTTAGATTTGTTACTTCGTTTAATACTATTGGATAGATTATGCCTACTGGCTTTAAGTATTTGATTAATGTTAACTGTTTTGCAAATTTGGCATTGATACTTTTCGTACCGATTGCACTTTTTGCATCTAGGAAGCAGAATAATAAAATAACAAAGTTAATGCGACGGTGACCGAGCGATCTGCTCGACGAAGCGTCGATGTTCGCCATGTTTATGTGCTCACTGCTCTGTAAGCTCGTCTCGCGATATAGTCACCTGTTTGCTGTTGTGAATGGGCAGCGGCAGCCTGCGCTCGTCACGTCATGAAAGCTTGTGGCGTTGCATGACAAATGATGGCATCAGTTGTTGTGCGGCATTCCGTGTTCAGTTTGACAGACTCGTAACCGTACACTGTGCAACAACTGGTTGTTAACGTTTTGATGATTCACGGATAACAGACTGAACTCCAGATTGGATATAATGTCCTGATGATGTGCAAAGTATTAACAATACCATTAAATATGACCGACAGAAATCACGTATACTTCCGCACAGATCAAATCATCAAAATTAATGAACCTGCTCGTACTGATCACCACAGTTAGCCACATTCCTTATGACGTGTACCATTCTAACAGTTCTCATCGGTTTTGATCAAGAAACATGCAAACATGACTGCGCATAAACAGCTGTGAATTAGATAAGCTAGCTAGCGCCTATAGGCGACCGGCGCCATCCTGTTGCGGCGGCTGGCTGGCACGCGTCATCACACACACGCCCACATCCGGCTAACCGGCGCCGGCAGCATGTAGACGGCTTGTAAGTTACCGATTCTGACTAGCTGTTTAATCAGGGAAAATTTCACTGGTAAAAGCAACGACGTACAGCGTACAAACCGTGCACTGAGTGGGCATACGGCGCATACCATGGTGAGCCAGCACAACACGTACGACGGTATGAGCAAGCAAGTACGACGGTATGAGCAAGCATCTGTCGCACGAACAAAGCGTCGCAGGGACGAGGCGGTCATTCAGTTAAATTTTGATTTCTTTCGGCTCAGTCGTGCATTTCTGTTCTACGTTTTGAAGTGCTTTCTTTATTGCGTCGATATCTGTACTTTCTCTTCTTTTCGTTTGTTTTTCAGTCGGTGTTGATCATTAATTCGTAAACTGCACGAATCCAATCATGTCGATGAACACAGTTTCATCGACTCTCCCTGACCGTGGACAACCTGCGTCTGGAATTGTCGGCGTTATGAAACAAGCATTGGCGGATGGCGAGCTGAGTGATGTGCGCTTCACAGTAGGACGCCACTTTGACCGAATCCAGGACTTCTCTGCGCACAAGTACGATCCTGGCTTGCCTCGCAGACTCAAATTATCTGCTCGAGCGCTGTGCCGAGTTGGTTTTCCCAAATCATTGTCGTTTTCTGCTGGGTATGTGAGATGGTTTTCGTAGTGTTGTAATTTTTCATTGGGTGTACGCAGGTTCGTTTTGGGCTCTCGGAGCGCTGTGTTCCGGGCCATGCTTTTCGGCCAACTCTCTGAAAACCATGACAATGCTGTCGAGATTCCCGACATTCCTCCCGAAGCCTTCGCCATCATGCTCAGGTACGGCGGCCAGCGTAGCGTGGGAAACTAGTTTGTTGTGGCCAGTTGGCAGGACCGGTTTCTGTTGATATCGGCTCCTTTCATGCCGCTTAAAGAATGAGACAATAAAGAAGCCCCGGTGCGCAGTTTTGTTCATGTCTTTGTGGTTCGTTTTGCAGTTTCTTGTACACTGATGCAGTGGATAATCTGAGTGCTGACAATGTTTTCGGAACCCTGAAGTGCGCCGATAAATACGATTTGCCGCAGCTCGTTGATATCTGCTCGGAATTCATCAGGAAGCGGCTGAATCCTGACAACTGTCTGGATACGCTGAAAGAGGTACGTTGTACTATACTTCCACCGTTCGTGTTCATACTGTTCGTTGCACGACGGTTGGCGAGATCAAATTTCGATTGTGTTGTGCAGGCACTTGATTGGCAAGCGGAGAAAATTGTGAAAAAGTGTCGGGTGTTGGTGGAAGAGAAGACCAGTGCGGTACTGCGGTCGGAGGAATTTGTCAACATTTCGCTACAGATGCTGCAAGACCTTTTGCAGCTCAAACTGCAGGCCTCGGAGAATGATATATATTTGGCTGTTGAAAGGTGCGTGGAAGTAGTTGAAAAACGAAGGGCGTGTATAAGAGTTTTAGACCGATTTCTTTATCTCGTTTTGTATATTGTTATCGAAGTTTCTGTGTCGCTGCAGATGGGCCGCCGCTGCCTGCGCTCGTAATGGCATGGATGCATCTGCTGCGAACCGACGCCAGGTACTGCGTGACGCCTTATTTCTCGTCCGATTCCCGCTGTTGGATAACAAGCAGCTGGCTGATGGACCTGGCCAGGTGAGCTTACGGAAAACCTTGTGGAAACACTACTAACAAGATGGGTTTTGATTTGTTTCTTATTTCCCTTGGTGACAGAGCGGTCTGCTGACGGACACGGAGATGCGGGACTTGTTCATGTACCTGAATGCCGCAGTGAAACCTGAGGTGCCGTTTCCGACAGAGAAACGAATTAAGAAACAACTTGCGGTGAAGAACAGAACTCTTTATTTTCCCGCTCGCAATCCATGTAAAAGATCCGCGGAAGCCAACCAGAACAACGGTCAATCGGCAACAAAGCGTCGTTAAAGATGGTGGTTGTGGAACATACAGAGTACTGGTTTGGGCAATTCGGTACTGCACGACCATACCGAGGATACAACAATAGACAAATTTTAGCATGATGGACAGTGGATTTATTTTGTTTTAATAAATCACTGATTGTGAGAACTTTTGCAACGGCTTGTAATTGAGCGTACGCTTTCTTACTTGTGTTTAAATGGATATAATGCGTGGAGCGACGGTGCCACGGAAATCGGCAAAATTTGATCTGCGGGAAATTTTGTTGGATGGTATTTGAAACAGGAAAGTTCGAATCTTACAATAAAACTGACCGTGTACAAGTAAATGGGTAACTAATAAATAATTATGAGTTTTATGTCCTAAAAGCTCTCGTCATCATGAATTGGCACTCCCTCCAAGATCCCAACGAAATAAAAAAAAGTTACCAGGGCAAATAAAATTAAGGGAGGTCCGGGTCACAGCTTTCACGTTGTCAGTTGCAAGCCGCCTGCATGCCGGTTAGCCGGGTGTGCGCGTGTGTGGTGGCGCGTGCCAGCCAGACGCTGCAATAGGATGGCGTCAGTCGCGTGGATCACTGATTCCCATCTTACTTGTGCGTGGTCATGTTTACATGTTTCTTGATGATGCCGGATGAGAACTGTTAGAATGGTGCACATACGGAATGTGGCTGCATTGTGGTGGTCAGTACGAGTATGTCTGTCTGTATGGCGGGCCGTTTGGGTCAGATTTGAAACATCAAATACGCGAAACACAAAAAAACCAAAGGGTGTAGTGGTATTCAAAAACGCCAAAAATTTTCCAAGTCCGAAAATTTTTTGTGTTTCGTGTAATTGACGTTTTTGAAATCGATCACCAAAGATCCGATGTTTCGTGTAATTGATGTTTGTGAAATTGCTCACCGGTGATTTGATGTTTGTGGTTTGTGTAATTGATGTTTTAGAAACTGATCACCGACGATTTGATGTGTGTGGTTCATGAAGTTGATGTCTGTGAAAGCATGAATCTGTGTTTTGATGTTTCGTGTTTCGATGCATAAGAATTTGATCAAGCTGACCCAAACGGCCCGCCATATGTCTGATCTGACCGACAGAAATTGCGTACGAGGAAGGATACGTGATTTCTGTCGTTAATGCTTTACACATTATCACAGCACTACATTACATCGAAACTCGAGTTCAGTCTGTTATCCGTTAATGATTAAAACCTTAACAACCAGTTCTTGCACAGCCTACGTTTACGAGTCTAACACGTTTACTACTAGGCATTCCCTGTTGCATTAGAACTATTCTTTAGTAAATATCGATCATTAGATTTGCCATATTTATCCGAATCATACTGTGGCTGCAATAATTGTATTCCGCTGCCGAAAGTATGTGAGTCGACATCGCAAAACACTAACCCGCACAAAAGCAACCAGCTAGCTTTGCAAAACGAAATGTTAGGGCTAAGGCTATTTTGCCGCACTTTTTTACAGTGCGTCAAAATAGCTTTTTGCTATTTTGCCGCACACTGCGTTAAAATAGCCTTTAGCTATTTTGCCGCAGTATGGCAGGGAAAATAGCCATTAGCTATTTTGCCGCAGACTGCGTTTAAACAGCCTTTAGCTATTTTGCCACACTATGGTCTAATTTGCGACAGTAAAGGGTACGAACTGCACTGCCAAATAGAGCATTTTCTCCTGGATTTGGTCGATTGCCGTAAGCCGACCTTGACTTGTATCGCTGGAATTCGTAAAAGCACGTCCTTGGGAAGGTTCTTTTAGCACGGGGACCGAATATTGGACATGAAGCTAGTCGAGGGCGTACGGCTTCCGATGAGTGCATATTCGGAAACGGATAGTGTGACAACAATTTCTATTTGGTATCAGATCAGCGCCATAAAGTTCATTCAAAGAAAAGTCTGCCCCAGTCAACAAATAACGAAAATTGTCCACCGCCGAATGTACGTTTCTTCCGATTTCGGCAAAAAAATGCGTGACAGCCCAAGTGATCTCGAGACATTTCGTCGTCGGACATTTCGCCACAGGTATTTCGTCGCAGCAGCTAACTTGTTTTGAGACACCTCGATTTGCTGCCGTTTTGTTGTGTGACATCTCAGCGCGCGACGTTGGCGAAATCAAAAATTATAGACCAGTTTATGGCACCGAACAGCCATATGAATATTGGCCCCAAGAATGAGTTGCCCTTAGACGCGATGTCTGTAAAACCAATTGTCACACGGCGACCTGTCGCGCAGCCAAAAGTCGCTAGCCGCATAAACACTAACAACGCGTCGCCAGTCGCGTATGGAAGCGTGGATGCGCATAGCCGGCCTGTGGACCTATGGATCACGCCATTCATAAAGCGCTTCCATATGTCATGGGAAGCATAGCTTGGGTGGTATGTAAAGTGTGATAACGAAGAGGAATGTCGTTGGAAATGTTGTGAACTGTATGCACTGGCATGCCGCCAGACGGTCTCATTTTGTAGCAGTGCGCTTTTGGCGAAGATATTGTCACAAGTTGTGCAACACTCTCACTCTATCCGAAGGTAAGATTGGCTACTTCCTAGTCAGAGGGAGCTGCCAGTGCCGCTCTACTAGGGGGGAAGAATGGCTACTTCCTAGCTAGGAAGCTTACGACCAGCAAAACTACTTGCTGCTACTACACGAAACGAAAGACCCGCACTTTCCAGATCAAATTTAGTAACAAAAGCAAAAGATCCGAAAATTCACCTGAACTTTATCGCAGAGACGTACCCGGCTTTTATACGCCGTAGAATAACATGTCATGATTACGTAACAGTTCCGGCGGCAGAGCCGACCAATAGGAGTACATGGAGGGAATAAGAGTACATGAAAGCACTCTATAACAACTCCACTCAGGAGCACGACACGTCCCCTCGCTGCGGGAAGGCTGGACCCACAGCCGTGAAAACAAAAGATTGCTGCTAGTATAGCAGTTCATTAATGAAAAGTTAATTGTACATAATGTGAACAAAAAAACAACAAATTACTGGTACCCAGACAATGCACGATCGCGACACCGTAGGCTTCTCACTGAAAGTTATTAGATTCCATAAACTCGTCAATGGGATCCCCTTTTCAGACACGGTCATCCGCGTCGTCGGTGTCCATGCGTCCGCCGTCGGCAGTTTCTCCAGTCGGAGGAATCCAAGACGAGGCAGCTAACTGCTTGGCTTCTTCAGCGGTATTTGCAGACGAGGCAGCTAATTTCTTCGCTTCTTCAGCGGCTAGTTTTTCCGCTTCTTCCGGTGACAAACCCTCCCACCTTGCCCAGTGTTTGGTCTCCTTGATGGAGTCATACTGCGGAATGCCGACAGGGCAATCGGCGCAGTCGTTCATCACCCTCCAGTGCTTTTCATGTGGGATGCTTCAGTCAGCCACCAAGGTATCCCTGGTGTTCCATGTGGTGGCATCGTTGTTTCGACGGGGAAGTTCCTTTGCTGAAGGCGATGCAGCGTCGCTTCGTTGAATATCGGCGCGGGCAACTTCAACGCCAGCTGGACAAGCGTGCTGTTAATAGAGCCCCGGGCGACGTGCATAGCCCGCGTGCAGAAGTCTTCGTATGCGGTCGCGCGCTTCGCTATATCGGCATCCATTAACGCTGTATGCGCTGTTACCCAGTTCCGGATCGTGGACTCCGCTGCGCGTTGAGGCAGGTACGAGCCGTCCCGCGGTTGCTTTACACGGGAATGATCCAAAGCAAACGGGTAACCGTTCATCTGGCTTTCCATCCAGGTCTGAGGGCCGATGTACCATTGTGCGACGTTTGGCCGTACTGCTCCGGGTTTAGATTTGACGGAATGGATCTCGTGCTCGTGCCACCGACCACAGAAGCCGGAGATGGTAACATACCAGAGGTCAACCTTGATAGTGGATCAGCCATAGAATACGAGGGGTAAGACTCGGATGGTTTGGACGTACAAAGGTCGAGTGATCCACCGGATACGGACTCAGATAATGAACCTTCGGAAGAATCCGAAGAGGATGACGATGAAGAATCCGACCCGTCAGTTCGACACTGCAGGTCGGATAAACCGCGGAACGACGACTCGGATGACTCGTCCGAGGAGGACAAAGAACCGACCTACGACGTCAGGCTAACTACAGCACTGCGGTCCATCATCCATACTGAATTCATAGTCGACCCTCCTCCGCAACAGACCGGACAGAAAAAGCCAGTCGACCCTGAATAACAGGCGGAACTTGACCAACTTAAAATCTTAAGGGAATTCGGAGGAGGCCAACCGGAGGATGACAATCTCCGACTTCTAACGATAGTAGTCCAGCAGTTGTCAACGGAACACCCGACCTCGGTTAACTTGACTGACCAACAGTAGTTGGAACAACCGCGCCCACGGAAGGTCCGGATTGCAAAAATCAAGTCAGTTAAAGAGTTAAACCTGGGCAACAAACACCCAAAAGTTTGCCATTTGTCGCTGGACCCACTCATTGACGCTAAGCCGCTGGACCGACAAGGGGTCTTCAACAGCGATAGAGTCTCTCTTCCACCATACTCAACGTGCTCTATCAAGGTACGGACGGCCAAACCAATGGTTCCTTTGAGACGCATTTACTTCATATTTTACGGCAAAAAAACCGACCTATTCGGCCAATAGAAGCCAAAATCGAGATCCGATCTCAGATGGACACGGCCTGGATAAACATCCAGAATACGACACATCAACCGAAGATACTGAAGAAGGGCGTTAAACTTGGCCACATGCAGTACAACGACATATACGAACCCGACATCGACAACGAGCATGTCATCTGGAAACTCCCACTTGGAATAGCCAAGACATGGCCGACCAAGCCGGAGCCCAGACCATTGCCGAAATTTAAAATTTTCGGGGCGACAGCACCTTTGTGTATCCGACCCCCAACGAGACGGAGTCGAGATGATGGATGGCGTAACCAAACATGACGGAAAACGATTCACCGTCATGGTAGCCAACCATACTCACCGTGAGGTCACCTTACGAAAGGGTGCACCCCTGGGTAGAGTCGAACCTTTCACAATGATGACGGTCGATCAGAGAATCGAGATAGCGAGAATACGCTCAGCTTAAGTAGAGGAGGAGGACGCGGAATCCCAAGAGGAGCGACAAAAAATCATTGACTACATGAACTTCGGCAAAAACCTTACCGATGAGCAACTGGCCAAACTAAAGGGAGTTGCCTGGGTATACCGGACTGTCTTCCCGACCTCGAAGAAGCCTTACGAAGATGTCAAAGGTTTAACAC